CAAGTTCCACCTGGACTCGAGGCCCAGACCAAACCGGTGTGGTCATCTTCACATTTCACATTGAAAACAAACATTTTAGAACAAAATTTTAAAAGATAGATTTCATGTTTCCTCAAGAAAATGAGACGAAGCCCTGAGCTTCTGACATCTGTTGGAGCAACATGCCTGTACGAAGCTGCAGGGTGGAATCTGGTTCTGAGTGCACTAACAGGCAGAAGAACCATCGGTGTTCCTCAGGGATGAGTCCTGGGACCGCTCTAGGTTACTTTACATAAACACAACCTCTACCGTCTCTAGAAACATCCGTTTCCTGTTAGTGGCTGGTTTCAGGAATGACGCGCCTAACCCTAACCCTCAAGTCCTGTTTGTGATGTCACAATCAGGAGCATCATAGAACCCCACCACTACCTGACAAGCATCAGCTCTACTCCGAGCCTCTCCTGAATACCAGAGCTCATCACCTCACAGCAGCCAGTCAGGGGAAGAGTGGGCGTGGCCAAACTACAGCGTAATGACACGTCCCCTTTAATATGGTTAGTGCACCACCTTAGACTCTTGGAGACTGATCTACCTCACAGCTGCAGACGGTTCTACCGCAGACAAAGCCTTTACTCAGGCTGGGACCTGCCTACGTCCTGCAGTCTGCGGCCCGGCATCAGGAAGCTTGGCCAGACGGCTCAGCTGGAGCTCCGGTGACGGATCAAAGCGCCGCTGACGGCTGCTGGTTAGCGTTCTCCTCGGCTTCCTGCTCTCACACGCGGGATCATTTATCCAGTTTATCCCAATCACCGCCGTGGCCCCAAACCTCAGCAAAGAGCCTGACATCATCCAGGCTGACGTTCAGGGCGTCAGAAAAACATGCCGCTTCAGCCACGAGTTTACTCTGATTACTTCAGAAACACTAGATCCCAGTCTGGAAAACCTCCAGAGTGTTTCAGGTTATTTAACTCTAATGAAGAGGAGATTAACAGTCAAGCTGGAGCCTAAAAACCATTTAGAGGAAATAAAATCTTCTAGCATTTATTTAGGTTTGAATTTTATTCTGAAACTTTTTAGAGACTCTGGATTAAAAACATCTGGTGTTTATTTTTCTGACCATAATTCTCCAGATTTAAACTGAAAAAGTCTTGAACCGAAAGATTTTGCTTCATGTTGTTGAATGTTGATCTAAAGCAGGTGAGATGTTTACTCATGGCCTCGGAAACCGGTTTCCAAAGCTTCTCTTTCCTGATGACTTGGATCTTATTTCCTAATTTTAGGAAGAACAGAAGTTTCTTCTCACCATCATCCAGGTACATCTGGTCCAGTTCTTGTGGTTCTTGTTTGATGCTGACAGCCTGCATGGGGGGGCTGTTGTCCTCCTGCAGGGAAGACCGGTCGCTTTCCGGCACTTTGGAAAGCTGCTGGGAAGCGGAACTCGTGCAGCCGCTGACCGAATGGGGCGGAGTAACGCCATGCGGCGAGGAGAAGGGGACCTCGGTTGGGGTGGAGGGCTGCGAGGCCGCAGGGGAGGATGAGCTGCTGGGTGGAAAAAAGCCGGGGGGCTGGTAACGCCCTGGAGTCTCCTGGATGATGGAGACCTGAGGGGCCTGAGGCTCCGGGGGACACTTGGAGAAGGGTGGCGGTGACAGGTCCTGCAGTTTGGGGCTCGTGCTCGGAGAGGTGGGGGTCAGTGAGATGGGCTTGGGGGTTGGCGTCTGCTGGCTGGCAGAGTAAGCCCCGCCCACAACAGCTTGGAGGCCGGAGATCATAGGGGTCACGGCCGACGGGAGGTAAAAGGGTTTTGGGTGCAGGGCCAGGCCAGAGCCGTGGTGAGTGCACATCAGAGGAACATCATAGTCGTCGTGTGGTTCCGTCTTTATCGTTGGAACTATGAGGAGAGGAGGAAAAGCTGCATGAGAAAACAACTTCCTGAATGTCTGAGTGTGTCGGTTTGTGGTCAGGACGCTTGCTGCCTCACTGACGCTCATCAATGAGCGTCTCTGTTAGAGCCCAAGCTCCTGAAGTTCTTCAAATCAAAAAACAAACGTGCTTAAAAAGGGAAAAAGTGGAAAATCTGACTACTTCTAGAAAAGTGGGCCAAACGTCGTCAGATGTTGACTTCAGCAGTTAAAACCAGGAAGAGATGATGACATCGTGGACTCCTCTGAACTCAAAGGGCTCTTATTTTGAAAGTGTTTCATTTTTCCTCAAATAGAAGTTTTATTGTGTAATCTGAATCAAATATGCCAGTGTGACTTCTTTTGGGCTTGTCTGTGTTTGTTACTCTAAAGAAAAGGATTGTTGCAGAAACACAGAGGGCCCAGCACTCTACCCTGGGGTTTACCTCTACTCCGGTCACAGCAAAGGGTTAAGTCCCCTTTAAGTTTAGCCATATTTGTGGTCAAACCCAGGAGACCCCTCAGTTTAACGGAAAATCACAGATTCAGCGTTCGACAGCAGCATGCAGTCCTGTCCAACGATAAGGTGGTTGGCACGCTGGCACGAACCGAGTTTACTGCAATGATGTGAAGAGAATCTGTAAATTACTCACACCGTTTTATTTCTGGCCCAAACCGAACCTACAGAGACTAAAGGACTGATGTGTGAAGCTCACTGTGAACACCGACCGCAGGACTAAAACAGCACACACACACCTATTTTGGGTTTGTTAGCAGGAAGTGAGCCCGCCTCTGGAGGATACAGTGTGCAAGGACAGGAGCAGGAGAACGGCAAACGTTTGTTTCACCACTAAACACACCATGCTGCCGGGTTTCCGTTGCGTGAAAATGGTTTTCCCAAAATAAATCTGTTTTGGAACCAAGTGCAGCACCTGCAGCACCTGCAGCAGCAGATTGTTGTTTCTCCACCTCTGATTCCTCTCTTCTCATTCCGGTCAGGTCCTACTGCCCCTCCCTTTGGGAAAGCTGGCCTGCTGTCCCGCTCCCCCCACCCTACCGGTAAAGAGGACAATGCTCCACTTTGACGGCGGGGCGCTCCACCGCCCACGCTCAGGGCCGGCCTGCTGCAGCTGAATCGCAGCTTTGAACCACCCACTGGATGTTCGCTCCAAGGCTGCAGCGCAATTAGCCGCGGTTTCTACATTTCAGTTGGTGGGTCCGAGTTTATATTTAGCTTGGCAGAAGGTTGTCCATTCAACGGCCTTTCCCAGGCCGCTCCCCCACCCTCCAGCAGGTACGGGAAAGAACAGCCTTTATGATTTCTTCTCACATGGAGGGAATAAAAGCGCTGCTTTGTTCCTCCCAAACAAACCACCAAACGGCTCGTCTTCAGAAGCAGAACCCTGGCCAACATGTTTCTAATTACTCGGAGAAACAAAGACAAAGAGCAGACCGAAGAAGTGAGACAAACCCGAAAACCGGAGGGAATCTTTCATCTGGAGACGAAACTCCTTTTACTGCCTGACTGAATCCAGTTTTCTGGGTTCAACAAAAGTCCAACAAAAGAGGAAATTTGTTGGACACCAACGAGGTGGTGGGATTATTTATTTATGATCCAGAACATTCAACCAGCAGCAGGATTGTTTTTTATTTAGTTACCGATGATGTAAAACTTGCTCCTGGTCTCCACCTTACAAACAAGTCTCAGACACGAGTCCTCGTCTCACTCAGAACCCCGGAAACCCAAACGGGTTCACTAGGAACCAAACCTCAGATGAAAACTCTGGGTGTTTTACACAAATGTGTGTTTTGTTTCTATTACTTATTGAAACTATCTGAAGTTTGAACCTCCTTAAAGCAGTGTCGGATCTAGGACTTTCCAGAATGGGGGGCCATGCGGGGGGGGGGGGGGGGGGGGGGGGCATGAGTATCAAGCCACAACATCAGCTTTGGTAAGGTAGACACATTTCATGATCCGGGCCTAACAGAAACACGTTTATGTAATTTTACAAGCATCCTTACCGATCACAGACAAACAAAGAAATGTCAGCGTTGTGTTCAACAGCATCAGGTTTAAGGGTGTTGGTGGGTGACCCACGTTGTTATGTGGCTCATTAGCACCACTAGTGTTTAGACTTTCAATTGCACCCGCCTATAATCTGATCATCATGCAAAGGCCAGATGGGTGACAGGATAGGAGCACTTCAGGGGCCAATCAGATTTCGGCAATACCCCTGTGGCCCCGCCCCCTAGAACCACCAATGCCTTAGAGACGTTTACCTGTGGCAGGAACGTAGGTGAAGCGCTGATACTGGCTTCGTTTCCTCTTGCCGTTGCAGACGTAGAAGTTGACGTGGACGGGGGTAGAGAGGCGCTGATTTCGGTACGGAGGGATTTCAACCAGCACCGAGTTCTGGAACGAAGGCAGAACGTCGTAACTGTTTTGGTTGTTTTTACGGTTTTTTTTTTCAGTTTGTTTTGAGTGTAAGTTTTAGTTTCTGTCGACTCAGAAACTGAATCTTTGACAATCGTTCTATTATCTTAGATTCTGTAAAGCTTTGAACGTGTAATTCAGTTTAGTTTATTTCTAAAGCGCTAAACCAGGACCAGAGTCGTCTCGAGGACCTTCACACAGTAAACAATACAGGTCAGCTCATTAAGTTTCCTATATAAGGAACCCAGCAGGTTGCATCAAGTCACTGACTAGTGACAAGCATGCAGCGACTGCGGAGAGGAAAACTCCCTTTTAACAGGAAGAAACCTCCAGAGAATCCTGGCTCAGTATAAGCAGCCATCCTCCACGACTCACTGGGGATGGAGAAGAGCGCGCGCGCACGCACACACACACACACACACACACACACACACACACACACACACACACACACACACGTGTGTGTTAGTGTCACTTTATAATCAAATAACAGGGTTTTGTTGGGTTTTTTCTGTGACGCTCATCTAGAAACAGCAAAACTCTAAAGAGTTTAAATAATCTAAAACTAAATTTTATCATCCAGCTGAACTTTTACAGTCAGGCTGGGTGAGACAGTATCTTCTGGTGGAGTTCCTCAGGGCTTCACACTCGGGACCCATTGGTTTCCCATTCTTCTTCCAGCTCTTGGAAAGTACAGATGCTTCTTTCTCTTCTCTCTCCCTGCTCCTCCCAAGGCTCTTTGCCTTGTCTGTCTTGTGCACGGCACTTCTCTGCATTTTCTCTGGAAACTGGATATTAATAAAAATGGATCTGATCAGCTGGTCTCTCAACGCGATTGACTAAATTTTTTCAACGATGAGAACGGGAGAAGGGGCTCCCGGTTGCCCCTCTGGGACAGAGCCAGCTAAGCACATCATGGACTCCTGGAAACAGCGGAACCTGATCTGCCTCTCTCAGCTGTCTGTAGAGGATTCTGAAGATGTTTGGATATTCGTGGTGTTGGTGTCGGGATTCCTGCTCTTTGGCCTGAGCGGTTACCTGGCTTACCAGAAAATTAATGAGCTGTCGAGGAATATTGGCTCAATCCCGGAGCTCAGGGATGGATTATACCACACTGTGAACGCACAAACTCATATAATTGTCGAGATGAGTCGTAAGCTTGGAACTTTGGCTGAGATTCAGACTCTGGCACAGAAGGTGGATTCGATCAAGGATAGAGTTGACGGGACAGCACGGTTGGGATAGATTAATTACGCCATTATTGGACCTGGAGGGGTTGGAGACCAACAGAACACTAAGACAGAGGAAATTATCTCTGTCTGTACCCAAAACAAGTTCTTATCTGAATCTGGGGCCCTTGAGCCTGTGAGGCTGAAGTGAAAACTCCCCCCTCAGAAGAAATGTGGAATGCTGCCGTCGCCATGGTAACTCTGTCTCCCTATCCCAGCCTGGGTGGGACTGTGACCCGTGAAGGCCGTTGAATTGTTTCCAGGAGTCACTGTGCTCTCTAACCCATTATCTCCCTCCCCTGTCCAAACGAAGGTGACGAGCGCTGCTTATCGTGGCTGCACGCACTGATGTGTGGAGAGTCTCCAACCCACCTCCCCACCTAGTGGACACTTATGTTGTGTGATGTCTGAAGTCTGTTGCATTTCTGTCTTAGGTGTTTTTTGCATAGCAAAGCTGCCCTCTCTGTGGAGGGTAACTCTGAAGTGCCCTTTTTCCCTCCACCTGAACCAATCCTCATATAAACTCTCTGATCTCTATTACGGTAGCGCGACTCGGGTTGCGAATGACCACAGTCACCAATTCTTGTCATGTGTCTATGTATGTATGTCTGATCTCAGAATTGTGTGTACTGAAACTCTAATTTCCCTCTGGGATTAATAAAGTATCTTCAAATTAAATTGAATTAAATTCTCTATTTACTGCCGTCTGGTTAGATCTGATCGCATCAGGATGCAGACAAAACAGATTTTCTAACCAATGATGGGATGTTGAGGTTTGTGGTTCTAAATCATCTGAAATTATATGAAAACAAGTCATATTCGTTTGCACCTTTGACACTTTTAACACTGAAATATAAAAGGAAAATGGTTTTCGTGGATTACTGTCAAGGGAAAAACTTCAGCAACTGAATCTGGATGATGTTTTATCATTTAGTGAAGCTTTAAGGTGATTTCAGAAAGAAAAGCTGAGGTTTAGATCACAACTAAGGAGTCGTCCTGGTTCTTCTGGAGAAATTTGTTTTTCTAGGCTCTAAAACCCCCAAAAAACAGAGTCTCTGAGAGACGAAGCCCTCCGGCGAGAGGAATCTGGACGTTTGCCGAGTGAAACGTTCCTCTGAAGTCCTGATGGTTTATTTTCTCAGCAGAACTTCCTGCTGAAAGCTCTCAGGTTCGTCCCAGCAGGTGTCCCGTGTTCTCGCTGCTGCTCGGCAGCTAAACACAGCTGAGAACAACTCTCCTGAACTCTGATTTTACAGTTTTTTTACGGAACAAAAACCCAGGTTTGCTTAAGTTATTCGGGCCAGGTTCAGCAAGTCCAAAAAAGAAATTAACTCCTTGTTTTATTCTAAAATTATTTTTAATCATTTGTGAAGTAAAGTTTCTACCTGTTCGAAGACGTTTCTGAAGAGATTTTGGTCTGAAACAAATAAGCCAAAGCGCCGCTGCTCAGGTGAAAAAGGCTAAACTGGGTCCTGGCGGAGGTTGAAACGGGCCTAATCCACGAGACAGATGGGTCCCAGTAGCAGGAGCACTGCCTCAGAACGGCTCCACCACCAGTCGGTTTAGCCTGATCTGTTCTGCTGTTAGCATATCGCTAAAATTGTAGCTAAATTAAAGAAAATAGCGGTTAGCACTGTTAGTTTGGACTACTAGCACGTTTGATGGCCTTTAGGTTTCTGCGAGCTAATTGCAAACACTGTGATGCTAATGTGAGTCAGAAAAGGCTACTTCATTTAGCAGCTTGTTAGCCTGAACATGCTACTCGTTAGCTTCTTTGTGCTAATTTCCTACCAAAGAAATGTATAAATTTTAGAGACCCATGTCAAGTAGACGCTGATACAAGGTGATGCTAATAAAATCTGGGTTGTCAACAGCAAACTTCGTCACCTGTTTTCTGTTTCAGTGCTTATTTGGTTTCTGCTAAACTCCAAAAGTGTTTCCAGCTACACATTCAAAT